TATATATATATAATTATGAAGCTCAGAATTTCATAATTTTTACTGACCATCGTCCCTTAATTTATGCATTTAAAAAAAAAACTCAGATTCATGCTAACCACGCCAGCTTCAACATTTAGATTTTATTGTCCAATTCAGTACTGAAATACTACATGTTTCTGTAAGTGACAATGTAGTGGCACGCACGCTCTCACGATTAAGCTCCATTAATCTTCCATCAGTTGACTTTCTTAGAATTGTTTATGCCCAAAGAGATGATGAGGAATTAAAAAAACTACTCACTGAATGTGAAAACCCTTCAATGACTTTGAAATTGCAACCTATGGAATTGGATGGCCCATACCCCTTATATTGCGACACCAGCAATAACAGAGTCCGTCCATTTGTGCCAAAAGATTTTTGTAAAAGTATTTTTATGTCTCTGCATAATTTGACACCTCCTGGAATCCTTGCTTCGAAGAAGCTTGTCTCTCTCGTTTCGTATGGCCATCCATAGCTAAAGATGTTGTGGATTGTTCCCGCTCCTGTGTCAGCTGTCAAAAAAACAAAGTGATCCAACACACACAGTCTCCTCTTCAACCATTTGAGTTACCATCCCGACGGTTCGACCATTTACACATTGACCTGGTCGGACCTTTCCCTCCTTCTGAAGGATACCAGTATCTCGTGACATGCATTGTCAGATTCTCAAGGTGGCCTGAATCTATCCCCATCCCAGAGATTACTGCCGAAACAGTTGCCCGAGCCCTCGTCAATAACTGGTTTTCTAGGTTTGGCATTCCTTCTGTCATCGCAACCGACCAAGACCGTCAATTTGAGCGTAGCCTTTTCTTTCAACCTTCTCGAATGATTTGAGCAGCTAGAGTGCGCACAACACCATACCATCCTTCCAGCAATGGTCTCGTCGAATGCTTTCACAGAACTCTAAAACAAGGTCTCAAATGCCACTCTAATATAAAATGGACTAAATCATCCCTTCCTATGGTACTTATCGGAGTAAGATCTGTCTTAAAAGAAGACCTATGATGCACCAGTGCTGAAATTGTTTATGGAACCCCCCTACGACTACCAGCGGAGTTCTTCGATCCTTCAACTTCAAATGTTGACCCCCACGAGTTTCTTCTAAAACTTCGAACCTGCATGTCAGAACTGAAACCAATTCCAACTTCTTCACATACAAACGCAAAAGTTTTCGTCCACCCAACTCTTGATTCATGTGTTTGTGAAATATGACAGTGAGAAAAAAAACGCTTCAAGCTCCTTATGACGGACCATACGAGGGTTGCTATTTATATTTCTGGCCTTGGCAACAGTAAGTGTTGCTAGGCGACCGCAGGCGATTTTAATCGAAAGTTTGATATTTTTAATCATAAATTCAGCAGACAATTTACCATTATAGCTTCTTTTGTGTTGTTGGCTGTAAATTGAAAAGTTCTTCTCTTTCAAAAAATGGAATTGAATCGTGAACATTTTCGTGCCATTATTTTTTATAACTTTCGACGTGGATTGTCAAGACAAGAGTGCTTCGATGAACTTAATTCTAATGTCTCAATAGAGGCGCCATCCTGCAGCACTGTAAAAAATTGGTATAACGAATTTAATCGTGGTCGATGTTCGATCCAGGATGAACCCTGTGCAGGTCGTCCAAAATCCGTTGTTGTGCCAGAAAAGATCGATGCTGTGCGTGAACTGATAAAGAAAGATCGTCATGTGACATACCGTGACATAGAGGCGTCTTTGAACATTAGTATGACTATCATCAATAAAATATTGCATGAACATTTGAGCGTAAAAAAAATTTGTTCGCGTTGGATCCCGCATAATCTGCCAAACGCTCAAAAAAAGGCTCGTGTCGATTGGTGCAAGGAAATGTTGGAAAAATACGTTCAAGGTACATCAAAGGCTGTGTATAGCATCTACACAGGTGACGAATCATGGATCTATGCATATGACCAGGAAACAAAACAGCAATCAACTGTATGGGTCTTCCAAGACGAGGCAAAACCAACAAAAAATGTTCGAGGAAGAAGCACATCGAAACAAATGATTGCCTGTTTCTTCGGCATGAACGGCAACTTGTGGCAACAGTGGCGTTAGAGCAACGCAGAATGGTCAATTCTGAATGGTACACGACCATTTGTTTGCTAGAAGTCATCGGAGAAATTCGAAAAAGCAGAAGAACAGGCGAATAATTCTTCATCATGACAATGCGAGCTCTCACACATCGATTCAAACAAAGGCATCTCTGACGAAGCGAAAGATCGAACTGATGGGTCATCCGCCGTACAGCCCTGATTTGGCACCCAATGACTTCTTCTTATTCCCACACATCAAAAATAAATTACGTGGACAACGATTTTCGACCCCCGAAGAAGCGGTTGATGCATTAAAAACGCATGTTTTGGAGTTACCTCAATCGGACTGGAAAAAGGGCTTTGAAAATTGGTTCAAACGCATGCAAAAGTGTATTTATCATCATGGAAAATATTTTGAAAAACAATAAAACCAATTTCGATCCTGCATGTTTGTTTCTTCGTTATTAGGCCAGAAATATAAATAGCAACCCTCGCATAGAGTCCTCAGTAGTTCAGAAAAAAACTTTTCGTCTGGACATTTCTGGAAAAGCTTCAGTGGACTGTGACGACCACCTAAAACCGAATTTCCTCCTCAAACACATTAAACAAACTGCGACAACATCAAAATTGCCTCATATTATGACAACTCCAGCTTCTACAACATCCTCATAATTAACTAAACCTACGCAGACAATGACACGATCTGGCAGGAGAGTTCGATTTATTCCCAAATACTTGAAGTATTTGCTGGAGGGGAAGAACTGCGACGGTGCCCTGCTCTTATAATTTCACCTTTCCTTGGTGATGCAAAAAGCACTTTCACTTCAACTTACAGTGACTCACGTTGAGAAACCAGTTTTCTACCAGCAACAGACGGTACACATTAGTTTACCTCGTGCGCTGATTGGTGAAGCATGGATCTCCAATAATCTTAATTTCATTTAACTTTCTGTATTTTTATTTGTAATTTTTTAATTATGTTTAAATTAAATTTATCTTAATGTTTAAATTAAGATGAGAATGTGCAAACTTTAAAATTATGTAAGGATGTATGAATGAAGGATAAAGTCTATAAGCGGCTTTCTATCCATATGTGCAGGCTCTGACTTTTAAATAAGACACCCTATGATAGATGATATGAAAATTAATGAATTTTCCTTTTTTAGTCTAATTAAATTACTGATTCCTTTTTTTTAATTGTAATAAATTTAATAACATTTTCTTCTTTTTTGGGTTTTATTAAGTTAATTTCTGAATAATAACCCTTTTTCTAGTTTTCTCATAGATGGCAGCACTAATACATTACTTGCTTAAAAAAATTTATCTACCAAACATATTTTTTAATTTCACTTTATTCGATTCAAGCTGTAAGCACAATTTCAAATATTTTACCTCTTCGCGAGTTTTGTTAACTGTATTTTTATTCCACATTGAAGCCTAAACCGCTCTTTGCAGCACGCCAGTAAATTTGATTACTGCTTTCTTTTTTATTTTCATGCTCTTTTTCAACAAATATTTTTTTTCGATATCGACACATATAAAGAATAATTTTTATCTTAGGATAATTATTCTTTATTCAGAAATATCGCATTAATTATTCCAATAGATGTTTCTTGAGGAAGACTGTTGGATTTTCCCATTTATAGCTTTCTCTTTATATTTTTATTACTTTATTTTATTTTATTATTTGCGTCTATATATATGTGTGTGCGTGTACATAAATCTTTTTATGTTATTTATTTTCATTAAATCCTCTTCTTAATGTATTAAATGCTAAAATGCTTCCTCAAAATATATAAATAAAAAATAAATTAACTTAGATCACACTAATACTATGTTGAAAAATGAGGTCTGATTACAAACGAATCGAAATTGGGTTTACATCGCTAATGTCAAAAATCTTCTGTTGATTTTCAATTCATAATTAATTATTATCTGCACTGCTACTTCAAGCTAGAGGAGAATGCTTAGCGGAGAATTCGCAATGCTGCGAAAAATTTTTGGAAATGGATAGACTGCTGCACCTTACCCAAGAATGGACGACATCCTACTCAACTCGAAAGAATAATTGGCTTCGATTTCTCCTGCACTTTCGGTGTTAATTTATGATTCATCTTAAAGAAAAAAATAAGTTTTTCCCCCTATTAACTGTCGTGTTTGCTTTTGGAATGGAGCTGCCATAGAAAGTACACTCTAAGAAGAAGAAAAAAAGAAGGCGGTTTCGTTTGCTCCGCTATAGAGATAAACACCTGAACGATATTTTTTTGTTTTCCATGTCTACTTCAATGTGACAGCGTTTCTACATTTCCAGTGGTTCATTTTGCTGAGTGATGGCGACGCTTAATTTTTGCTCACTGTGGTGATATTGAGTAAACTTTAGAGGATCATATTTATTGGTGAAATCTTGTGAACAAACTTGGATGAATGTTATAGAAGGCTTCTTTGGGGAGAGCAATATTTTGCACATTTTATTTTAATTAGAAATGATATTTATTTAACAAATCATGGTCTGATTTTTTTAATGGTATTCTCTTTTGAATTGTTCTGTACCAATTGAAATTTTTAAACGTGAATGTTTCACGCTTAAAGAATGATTCAAATTTAAAGAATGACGCTCATATCTTTAAATTTGAAAATATAATGATATGGTTATTGATATTTATATTTTAAGAATGTTTCTATTTATTGATATTATTTTTCAATGGCTTACCATATTATTTGTTTAAAATAAAATAGTAATATTAAAATTTAGTGTTTTCATTATATATTTTTTTCACTTTTGATTCAATATGATTTTAATTAATATTTAAGGCGACAAAGGGCTTCCAAATTTTTTTTTTGAAATTATAAAGGGATTTGCTTGAAATTTTCAGGATACATTTATATTGCTAAAAACAACTTTTATACAAAATTTCAAAAAAATATTTCAAAATTTAAGAAATTAAAAAATTTAAATTTTTCAATTTTTTATGTTTTTTTATATTACTCCTCGCGTCTGAAATTTTGTCAAAATGACAAAATTCTTTTAAAATATTACATATTAGGTAATATTGAAAAAATTGTTGGAAGTACTTTTTTTATTTTTTATTATAGAAACAAATAACATTAAAAAAACAGTAAAAAACCTACATTTTTAGGAAAAAATCATGATACCTCTATAAAATATCATGTATAAAAAAAATACTATTCACTTAATTCAAAAAACTTTTCCAACAAAATGTTAATAATATTCATAAATATATAGCATTAAATTCTCAGGTCAATAGAATGAAAATTCATTACGCTGGAACAGTTTGAAA